GCGATCAAGGCGCCAATAACGTTACTATAACGTTGCTTTAATCGTTACCTGTGGTATTAACCGCTCGTTACACCTCCAAAGTCGTAAACTGCCCGTCTACAAATATAATTAGTTTTTGGTTTAGTTATAGCATTCGAAGGCTGTATATTAAGTAAAAAATTAACAATCAATGTTAATTAGCGAACATTGGAACAAAAGAGTTATTATATCAGAATTTAATCATTAAATTAATTAAGAAAATTTTAATATGATTAATTTATAGCAATAACGAATACCCGTATGTCCTTCACTGTATCCCTGGCAGCGAGTATGCAAAGTTTAATTATGACTGGGTACTTGGAGACCGGTACCACAGCGCATTTAATATGTACGATTTTTTTGAGAAAATTTTAAGACTCGGTAAAAACTTTAGAAATGCAATTATGCAATTATGATCGAATGAAATTAAAATTACAATATTGCAATTATGAACGTTCGTTTTTTTTTAAATATAATTATCTATTTATTATTTGAAAACAGATCAGCGTTCTTTAACTGCACGTATACAACCACTATGACTATACGGCCAATAAATAGTTTATTGATATAGATTTTTTCAACAGATTAAATTTCCAAAAGAATTGCGAATTAAGCGTTTAAAGGTATGTAAATCATAAAGCATATGCACAATATATTTATTAAAGGGTTCTGATAACCCTTAGTTTTTCATCTCTCGATCACAATTTATACATCATCATCATCATCATCAACAGCCTTTAATAGTCCACTGCTGGACATAAGCCTCTCCTTAGAAAGAAGGTACAATTTATACATTTAAACTCAACCCCTATGTTGTATTAGGAGGTTTGTCCAAAAACAATCTAATCGTGACTATTGCTTGACAGTGACTTTAAAGGTTTATTGACTTTCAATTGACTTAAAAAATAGATTAAATAAATACGGTTTTAGTCTCGTGTAATGGGGTCTCTTTTTGCTGCGTGTTACTTTCGCAGCAGTACATATACTTGAACTAGAGCCTCCATTTCCTACAAAACGAATCGCGTATCCCTTAATACATACGTGTGCAAAACTGTAAATTATGAAAAAAAATACAATATAATAATGTGAATACCACAATATTAAAAAACTTTTTTTTTCTATTGTATTAAATTAAGTAAGGTAACAGATATCTGTACTATTCCAACGCTTAATCATATCCATTTGAAGTCACTGTATCTAGTAGTAACAATGCCTTGACCAATGGTTACAAATTCATTATAAAATAGGCCTGAATGTGATATAGGTTTGTAGACATTAGCGTACGAAAACTCTAAATTAAATATTACATCTTTTAATACAAAGAATAATAGACTATTCTCTGCAAAAAGGTGTAAGTTTCAACAATAGTTAGGGGTTTAAGGCCTTACACGGGGGAGGGGTCGTCTAACACGGGGGGGGTCGTCTACCTGTTGTTGTAGATGGCCCGAGGTATGTCGGGGCACCAGGGACTTCCTTTCTAGGGTATACCTGGTTCCCCGGCTATTAGTACCCGAGACGGCGTGCGGTTTTAGTCGGTTCGAGTCCGACATGCCACCGATATTAGGTGGTATCCGAGGGGATTTCCGCACGAAAAAAATAAAAAGGGGTTTAAGGCCTATCAGTAAATTCCTGTCTTTTTTAAATTTTAATTTTAGAACAAATTCTAGAACATCTATTAAATGTAATAAACAGAATCGTGTAAACAATTTAATCTCAAAATAAAAGGTAATGCATTGGTACAATTCAGCACTGTATAGCACAGAAAACTGTTAAGGGTATCATTAATCAGATTGGTCTGGCATTCGATATAAGTTGTCTAGAAGTTTCTAAATAACATTAAATATTCAAAATTTGCAAATGTATTGTATTTTTATGCTTTTGTAAATTAAAAGGATCATAACAACCAAATTTTGTTCCGGAACCGTATGTACTGAAAGCAATGGTATACCTGTCTGTTATTCGCTGGAATATTATAAAAATAAACATTTCGATAACTCTAATACTTTGAAACATAAAATGAGTTTTATGAACCGTTTTGTTCATGGAAACGTTATTAGCAACGGTATCTGGAATAGCATGTTTGGTTGGACACAATATAATAGGTAGAGGTTAAGGTTTTCTACGAACCGCAACCGTTGTGTTGAGGAATACAATTAAAATTTAAAATAAAATATTTTAATATCTGTGGTAAAAGCCACTATATGGTTTTCATATTAACGTTGTTTACTCGTAAGTGAACCTTTTTTAATGAATGTGATTTCATGTTATTGCTTTTTTATTTCCTATGTATATTTTTATCTCTATAAGTTAAAATTAATAGCTTTAGTTTTGGGAATGAAATTTAGTTTCATCCCCAAAACTAAAAGGTTTACCTCAAAACACAGGGAATCCTACTGTAGGATAAATGTGTCCTATACTAGGATTAAGTTTTAGTTTAAGTATGAGGTTTAGTAAGAGTTATTGAGCAATAACTGTAACTATTTATTGTTTTTTTTAATACATTATTATAATATTAAAAACAGTTTGCCTTGCCATCCATAACGTTCACATAAGGTCTCGTGGGATATATAGAGTCATTGATAGAGTATACAATTGAGAATTTAGATAATTATAAAATATTTGAATTCAACTGAAAAACGAAATATGTTTTATTTAAGACTAGCTGACCCTGCAAACGTTGTTTTGCTATTTACATTATTTAAATATATATATATTTTTAATTTGTTAAAATCCGTTCTTAGCTGACCTCTACTCAGTGAAAAGAATATTCCTACCAAATTTCAAGTCTTTAGCTCTAATGGTTCCAGAGATATCGTGATGAGTGACTATATACGTGGAAATCTCTTATAAATACGAGTATATAGATTTAAGATTCTTAACAATTTAAGATTTGGGTATCCGTGTCCACTATTTGCAAACTGTTTTTAATTGAATTATTATATTTCAAGAGTGATTCAATTAACTTCTAATATAAGCCCACACGCGTTGGCATATAAATAATCAATAAAAAATTGTGGTTATATTATTTCGGTACAATAAATTTGGTGTATAATATTTATTTATTCATTTATTTATTGAGTCTTCCTGCATACATATTGCATAAGGCGGACTTAATGCCTCAGGCATTTTCTTCCAGTCAAACCTTTGGGTGTTACAAAGCTGTGTATGGCAGGTGTATTTTTGGGACAGGTAAAGATGAGCCTGAATTAAGAAATGTTACAATGACAGAAAAGAAAAAATCCTACAGATATATAAGTACTAGGTATACATACATTTAGTTTATACATATAAATATCAAAATCTATATAATACCTACAAAGATAATAAATATACTCTTAAGGTGTTATTCTGATGACTCCGTCAACAAATCTCTATAGAGCTTACGTACTTTAAGCTTAAAAGTGTATCGGTTAGTGGGCATCCTGATTATTCTGTTTAATTTATTCTTTTTCGTTTCAAGATAAAGAACTCAATTATAATTTTACATTAGTTTAATAAAACTATTTTCATTACACCGTAATTTATTATTATTAACGTTAATTAATAAATATCTTGTAGTCATTTCAAAATTAACCCTCACAATAGACTATACCATAATAACACATTAGATATTTTTATTTTGATGATCGCTTTTGTAGCCTTTCACGAATGACAATGTCTGACATGTGACCCCAAACTGCCATCAGCCATCATGACCGGGAAAGCTAAAACCCTTTTGACAGTTTAATCTCTGTATAAAAGTGCCATTTTGGCTGGAAAATTATTGTGCAAATCGCGGTTTGTTTGAGGTTGGACTGTACTATCAATAAATTAATCTACATTAATATTTGTAGAAGTTATACATACATTTGACTGGTTATCTATGATGTTTTATTTTTACTGATTTAGTATACTATGAATTGATAAGGGTATGTTTTATTTAGTTTCAATAATGGCCTATTTTTTAGTTATATAATAGAGTAATTGCCTTACCCTTTTTGTCTGTGGATCTACTTTGTTTATGTCTATTTAGTTTAACACATGGCATTTCTATTTGTTTAAATTGTTTTCTATGAGTGATGAAGCATCATCTGTAATTTATTGAATTTATAAAGAAAAAAGGATTGGTTTTTGTATATTACATCTAATAGTATATACGTAATAAAGAGATGGGCATAACTACACTTGTACATGTACAATTTGAGTGGTTTTTGTATTAAAATTACTCATATTATATGTCGTAGTTATATTGCTAGTAAAATAATAAATTATATAGATACTATTATTAAGATACTAGCTGACCCGGCAAACGTTGTATTGCAAAGCAAAAAAAATTAGGGATGGGTCACCCTTACCATTTAGGGGCATGAAAAATAGATGTTGGCCGATTCTCAGACCTACCCGATGTGCACACAAAATTTCATGAGAATCGGTCAAGCCGTTTCGGAGGAGTACGGGAACGAACATGACTTTACGCCGTCATTTTAGATTATATTAAATTGGATTCTAGCTTGACTATTTTATAATTAACGTGGTACTTTTAGTAGTTTTGGTTTTGCAAAATGAAATCGATAGGTATTTATTAACTTTTTATTTTTATTAAATATTGGCATGCTTTAAATATATGGTTATTTACTTTGGGAGTAATAATAATAATTATATTTTCACACATTTCATACACGGCCGTCTGATCCCAAACTAGGCAGAGCCTGTACTGTGGGAACCAGACTGCTGATAAACATACTTATATATTTCTAAATACATACATATCATAGATAAAGTACATCCAGACACAGAACAAATGACGGTGCTCATCACATTTGTCCTGGGTGGGAATGGAATCCACGACCTCAGGCGTAGCAGTCAGGGTCACTAACCACTAGACCAACAGGAATGAAGATATTAAAAAGCTTTTTTTACGATTTTGGCAAGGCAAAACTTCTCTCAGATTTGAAACATTCAAAGGTTCTACTTGATAAAAAAAATTAACAATATTACAGAGTTTAACCATCCTCAACACAACGGCGAAGAAACAGATTCTGACTCACCACGTCAATGATTTGCTGCAACGTGAGGCCGAACCTGACTTCTAAAGGTTCGCTCTCGTTGGCAACTGGACGCTCCAGCGTGTTGTATGACGCTAACAAAGCGTTCAATAGGCGCTTCTCGTGAGGACCTTGCTCCGATACTGCAATATCAAAAAAAAGAAAAACAGTCAATACAGGATTTAAAAAAAGAACTTTAGTAGTTACACCGTTGTTACAGTAAAAAGCTGAGGTGTTGTGTGCACAAAATATAACTTTATAGGTTACCCTGCAGAGCTGGATTTACAATACCCAAATAAACTTAGAAGAATACACAATAGTTTCATCCAATAATGTAGTTAAAACCTTCTCTTACCACTAAACTATTCACATATGTATGGAAAACACTTATAATAAATTTATTCAGGATATTTACATTAATATTTATCAGAACGTCACCGTTTACAACCGTGGATTTATCACAATCTTAAAGGACTTGGTCCCAAATACACTACCTATTTGGGACGCAAATACTTTTTCTTTATGTCTTCGTACATAATAGTAATACATAGGTTTTCGCCACATGAAGTATATAATTATAATATGAATATCAAAATCTCTTGGGTACGAAGATATGTTTCGATGAAAACAAAATTGCGATACTATGTGATGCTACGCAGTTATCTATCAATAATATCTGTTTCTCTACCCATACATTAAAATTACAAAGACTATTCACAGATAGAAAAGAATTAAGATAAAAACGGAACGTAGTTTTTCACAACAAATTGGATAAATCCCGATAGTTCACCGTCTGAACTGAACTTCGTACATCTGCGGCAAGAATAACGACTGGATAAACCCAACACACCTGAACTATTGAAGGCCCCAAATAGACCATACACCCTAAACTCAATGGCATAAGGTTCATTCTCGAAATAAACGTTACAAGAGTCCAGCTCAAAGGACCAGCCATAAACACTCATTTTAGGGGCTTACAATGTTCTTATACGTGATGTATAGAGGCTAGAGTGTGACAAGTATAACACACTCGTACGGTAGGATTAATAGGTTAGAAGAGGATGTATATATGGATTTAGCTACGAAAAAGGATAATTTATTTGGCTCAGTAAGTAGAGATCTCAAGAGGATTTCTGTACTCTAATAGTTTTCTACCACTATGAATTCTTTCGAATATAAATCTATTTTAAGTCTGTAAGAATTATATCATCTATAATCATTATTTTATATTAGCTCCTTTGGGTATAATTTGCACAAGTTTATCTAAAGATCTTTTTTCAGACGGTGTCACCTCCTCCTTCCTCCTGTTTTTTTTAAAGTAACGGTGTTAAAAGTATAAGTATTTTAAACAACGTACAAATATTAATTTATAAAACTAAACACATTTTCATTAAAGCAAAACGCAGCAGCGCCTATGTCAAAACTCAGCCATTAATTATATTTACGCGCCAGCGTAATGGTTTATAAAACTTTTAACTGGCGGCTTGTTTACGTGTTATTGTTTTTTTTTTTAAACATAGTCAAAATTTTAAACTTTACGGGTAAATTTTTGATGTACTTTGAGATGTTAGTCTGTGTTCGTAATATGACTAAAAAGTTACGTAACTAAATAATCATACAGTGAAATTAGTCTCGAGAAATTTTTGCACATGTAGTGGTGTGTATATTACTCAGATCTTAGAGCGCGTTTCCACTATATCGTTCTGGCCTATACAAAAATGCTTCGATATCCTAACATTACTATTTAATTTTATACTTATCCCTAGCAACACTCTGATTTTTGTTTTCAATAAAAACAAGTTTTTATTTTAAAGAAAAAGGTTTTGACTTTATAAAAAAAAAGGTGTGTGTGCGATTCACACTCGATAGAAGTGAAACTTCAAAGAGGAGAGACCGATATTTAAATTTTTTTTTTTCCTTTCATCTAGGTTTTTAAAACTCCGGGGGGTCTACGAGGGGGTCAAAATTTTTGTTATTTTTGGCCTAGGACGCACCGTTTCCGAGATATTTCAATCTAAAGCAAAAAATCGTCACTTGATAGTGGAAAGTGGAAACACGCACAAAACCAGAATAAACCAGTTTACGCTGTCCCTACCATACATTACTACCAACGCAAAAATTTCTCCAAGCTAATTTACCTGTACTGATAATAGTATTATGAAACTTATCTCACTTGACTAGGTCTAGTAGATGGTAATCATAGCTGCTGCCCATGAACACATGCATCTTGAGAGAACCTTTAAGTGCCCTTTCAGGGAGGCCTTGGTATCACCCTGGTCGAGACGACCCATATGTGCCGAAGCATAGCTCTTTTAAGGTGACGCTTATTCTAAATTATTTTTTCTTTTTTTTATACAACCCATGTAAGTACAAGTTTGCCGTATAAGCTTTCATCTACTTTTATTTTATATTTAAATAGCGATTGGCAAAGAATTGACTACTTTTCGACTAAGACTCGTGTAATGCTCTAAATTTAAATTGTCAAATTTGTCCTATGTGTAGCCCAATTCAGTATAAATACATATTCCAAAATTTACTACTATTCAATTAAGTATATTACTAATGTCAACCTTAATTAAACGCAACGTCAATTCCTTCTAATCTAATTGCATTGTGCTATGAGAGTATTTGCAATGACTACATTCTTTATAAGAGAATCCTGCACATAATAAATGTAGGATTATATTTATAAGTAGATTAGGATTCCATTTCAACCTTTTGTCTCGTCAGATAACGTTAAATACTTCGCAAATTCACTCCAGAGCATCAAAGGCGATAGTAATCAGTTTTTTAGCATGATGATTTTGTATTTATTCATCATCAGCTTGTACAAGTACAAGTAAATCCTCAGAAAAAGTCGAATGAAAGTTTTTTTCTCCATGGCTTTTTTGTAAGGCAATGTTTCTGTCAAATTTGATGATGATGAATATTAAAAGAGTCAGGACATATAGCTACCTCATAAAATTACATATCTTTAATATAATTACATCATCAACAGCATTTAATAGTCCACTGCTGGACATAGGCCTCTCCTTAAAAATGAGATTTTGGCCTAGTATACCACGCTGGCCAGACGGATTGGTATAAGGTTTTTTTCAAGTTTTCCTTCTCTTTGCAGTGCTGTTGTCCTGCGTAGTTTGCTCCCTTAGTCGCCTCTTACGACACCCACGGAATGAATGGGGGTGGTGACACTCCGTATTCTTAATCCGTCACCACACTGACAATATAATTACATGACAACTAATTAAATTTTGTAGAATTTAGTAAGTAATGTGGTTATAAATGGACTTAATCACAAAAGAGAGTATGTGTATTTAACGGTATGTTAAATACTAGTTCATTATACTAATAGAAGTATTGCAAGCTCAGAAACAAAATTACCCTACATCGAGAGGAAATTGTGTTTTAGTAGGCTCTTAGCAGTTATAGCATAGTTGTTATAATATGCCAACAGACTGGCAGAGAATCATTATGTTCCCATCATCTTAAAACATGTCTTGATGTGATAGAAACAATAACAATTTTTCTTTCCAGTCTTAATTTAAAAGTATATTAAGAGACGATATAAAAAATGACTAATTTGTTATGAAACCATCGACAATTTAACAAGTATCCTGCACGATTAGTTTAGTATCACTAAAACTAAACATACAAATCCCCAAAAATTTCGTTCCTAACACGTGGACTCGATTGCAATTCCTTTGATAACATTCTCGATATTTTTCAAAAACCAAAATACCGAATATCAGTCTCTCTATGGTCAGCAATCACAAAAAATATAGTTTTTACTAATACAATCGCCGCAACGTCACGCTGATATATTTATATTATTTTATATTTAAAATTAAATCAAACAAGTCACAATCATACGACAAACCCACCCAACACTTAGTAACTAAAACCTCTACCCTGACTTAAAAACTATCTGGTAAGCAGCCAAAGTGAAATCTCTATCTGCGTGCCACGGCGTGCGGCCGGGTAATACCTAATCCTAACCTAATCCGGAATTAACGCAACTACCGAAAGCTAGGGTTATCAGCGTTAACAAAATCTCAAATAAAAGAAAATCTACCTCTAAGATTTAATTTAACTAACTAAAGTTAATTAAAAACTAAATTTACTTTAGTTCTTTGGAGTCATTTTTTATTTGATTAAAGGCCTTTCGTAACGACGTACTTGTTGAGTAAAATTCTTCGCTCTCGATAATAGTCTAAGGTTCTGCTTGAGAAAAATAATAATTGCAGATTAATTATATTTGTTTGCTTTTCATGTCTTTAGGGTAATATCAATTGCAAATAAACACAAAAGCCTTATGGCCACTATACTTTCACACAGTTACTATTATTGAATATTCTAGAATATTCCTCGTCGATTGTGCCAACCCTAGTGTGACCCTCGTTAAGTTGGCGGCGTACCTTAGTCCGCTGATATTGTATAAACAGTACGTTCAGTACAGTAGAACTGCCAACTGGTTTGGTTCAGAGATGAAATAATAAACGACAAAGGAAATAGGTATATTTAAGTTAATAAAAGATGGTAACATAAATGTTAAGAACTGAGAATATTTTTCTTTATACTTAGAGTTTAGGAACGAGCAGTTTAAATACCTAATATTGCGAAGATCAACATGTTGTTAAAGTGATTACCATGAGATTTTTTTATGGTATAGAAGGCCCAACGAACAAACGGATCATCTGATGGAAGTGACTACCGCCGCCCATGAACACCTGCAATTCAAGAGTCATTAGTGCGTTGCTGCCCTTTCATACCCCCCCCCCTCCCCCCCTCAGAAATGGTGTGAATAGGCTTTTGGGCTACGATAACCTCACTCTTCCACGGTTAAATGCTATGGTATGCTAATATTATAAAGAGCTAAAGTTTATGAGTTGGTATGTTCAGGGTCATCTCCATTACTACTGATCCGATTTTGAAAATTCTTTCACTGTTAGAAAGGTTTATCCCTGAGTTGTATAGACTCACACATTGTACACACGGGCGGAGTCACGGGCAATAAAATAATATTGTAATAAGGAATAATTCGTAACATAACGAAACATTCTATTATTGCCTACATAGATACTGTATAAGATTAATTGGACCGACATAATTTTCATACACAAATTCGCGCCTGTATTCCCAAAGAGTTGAAATTTAACAATATGCCTGCTGCGGTTTTCGATTCACTCTCATAATAAAGACCAAGGCAAACCAGTGAACACTTTTGAAATTATAGATAGTTAAAATGGAGGGTTTTTTTTTAAGACAACTCCCGAACTCTGAATATAATCCTGTATCGCGGGGGACTATTCTCACATTTATGTAACGAACACAAAGAACACTCAAACTCAAAACAACAATTTGTCGATCACACAAAGTGCGTGCCATGGGTATCGAACCCACAACACTCATAGCAGTAGGAAGCAGCGAAGTGATCCAGCGAAAACCACAACGCCATGTGTGCAATCAGTGCGTTGAAATAAGAAAGATCGATAATAAAAAAAATTGTACAAGGAAATATTATTTACACTTACTTATGTTACGTAGCTTTAACTAATCGAGCAAACTCTGCAAGACAGCAACAGCACACCAAAAAGAGAAGGAAAACTTGAAATAAACCCTATAACAACCCATCTGGCCAGCTTGGTTTAGTATCCCAGAACCTTCTTCCTAAGGAGAGGCCTATGTCAGCAGTGGACTATCAAAGGCTGTTTATGATGACCCATAACTTGAATTGGCTCCTCTAACGCTATATTTCTTAGTCTTGGTCTAGTGGTTAGTGACTCTGACTCTAACTGCTAAGCCAGAGGTCGTGGGTTCGATTCTCACCTAGGACAAATAATTGTGGGATGAACACGATCATTTATTCTGTGTCTGGGTGTTATTTATCTATAATATGTATGTATTTAGAATTATATGTATTTGTTTATAAGTAGTGGGATTTCCATAGCACAGGTTTTGCCTAGTT